CATGGCAGAAAAGCTCTGTTTCATTGAAAAAAGACACATGGTCTAACTGGACCTTACATCAGTGTCCTTCCCCACTTTTAGACCCTTTTTACATGTGAACAGTCTCAGGAAATGTTAGAATTCTTCCAGTGTTGATTTTAATAAAATTACATGTTTACACTGTAACGCTGTGCTCCTTGAATCTGCTGGAATTTTTATAATTTTCAGATTATTAGCTAGCATTGTCATTTTTGTATTTCAACAATATGCACAAGTTCAGTTCAGTTTCGATCATACAAACAGTTACATCCAAAACGGTGGAACTTGCAAACCTTTGTTTGGACCAAGGGAGCAGTTGGTTTGCTCCAACTCATTGAAAGGGGTGAGCAACACAAACAGCTCTCCATTACCCACCAAAATTACTGTTGTTCATCTTCTCACACATGCGCAGAAAAACTATTGACTCCAGCTGTTCAGAGTGTGCATGCACCATATGATGCCATGCGTTTCCAAAACCCTCCACTCTGAGACTTGAATTAAAAATCTTTGATGTCAGAAATACAACAGCTTCAGTCGGGTTCGAACAGCCAAAAGCAGCAAAAATGGTATAGGTTTTTTATTTGGTGTTGTGTAAACAGGGCCTCGGATACCATTCTGTAGTATTCTCATCTGTGCAAGAGACAGCCCATTTCCAAATTACTAGACATTGTTTTAGCAGTTTTTCCATACATACATTCTATACATCTATTCACTTTAGAAAAACAACATATTTGTGAGAACTTTGCAGGAGAGGAAGAGTTTAAAAAGGACACCACTGCTAGGGAAAATTGAAAAGCACAGAAAGAGACCATGTTTGAAAAGGTTTTGCTCCTGAGCTGCATAAAAGACCTTTTTGTACAACTTCCATTCCTTTTCTAATGCCACTAATATAAAACAAATGGCTGCCTGGAAGACAGTAAAGCTTCCTGTAAAGCATTTAAAGGGCGAGGGGCCTGGCAACTAACCTGGCATCCATTTTGGCAAAGAAAAGAGCTACTTTTGTAAAGTCTGCCACCGTAACTAATCAAAGCAGAATGTGTCTTTTGAAAGAAGCTCAAACAAAGCAGACAGGAATCCATCGAGGGCTGAAGCAAAGTAGAAAAAGAAAAGTATTTAAATACTAATTGAGTATAAGAGGTATAGCTTTATTTGAAGGAATGAATATCACTCACTGCTTTTCACATTAGTTTTAGACCAATGTTATGTTGAGAAATGACAGAGTTGTAACCATTTTGGTCAAACTTAGGCACAGTCTCACACATTATGTCATGTTCAACTTCAACATATGTGTTGGGGACAACTCTCAGCTACTACCAGACCAAATATAGCTCAACATCTGTAAGATATACTGAGTTGTAGCCATTTTTATGCTGGCTAATGCCAATTAGCAATAGCAACTATCTTGAATTGGAATGACTTCAAATGTTAATGAGTTGTGTGTACAGCCATTGACTAGACCATGTGAGTTTTATTCAGTTCTGTCCAGTGGTTCTTGAGATATTTTGCTAACAGACAAACAGGATTGACTCCAACTGTTAATAATGTTTTAGACAAAGATCTTATTCAACAAGTAGCACTAGTAGTACGTGTTGTGAATGTCTCTCAGCTTCAACCTTACAAAATGTAACAGTTAACCAGTAAATCTAAAAAAAATCACTAGAAAAACTAAACATTTGCAGAGAAAACATATTTTTTGAAAGGAAGAAATAGCTTTTGGGTTTAATGGGTTTGATCTATTCCAGAAACAAACCTCTGCCATTTGTTCATTTCCAAGGGGCCAAGTTATGCAAAATGTAGTGGCACAGAGATTAGAGAAGATGAGCCAGTGATAGGAAGGTTGCCAGTTGACCCCCTGGACCGACAACATAAAAAAATGTGGGTGGGAGAGGTGAAGCACTGTTCACCCAGGGTGCTTGAGCAAGGCAGCTGTTTCCCTGGCCACCCGAGATGGCAGCTCTCTGCTCTACACAGAGGGCTGCGGTAGCTCGATGGGCTTGGTGGCCCTCGGTTGTGTCAGGAAGGTCATCTGACATAAAAACAATTAATGCGAGTCAGTTTGCTGTGGCAACCCCTGCGGAATGGAGCAGCTGAAAGAAAATAAATGTTTCCATGCATTTTCTTGTTGTATCATATCTTGTTTAAAACATGTCTGCGGAATACTCATCATGAATTTAAGACATTCTGTAAACTGATACTTGTAACAAAATAGTCATTAGCATAAACTATGCAACAACAACAACAAAAACAAAAAAAATACAGCAAAAAAGAGATAAGCTTGTTTTTTTTTTTGGAGTTTTTAGGGTTCTGTGTAGTTCAGGAAACACAAACAATGACTTACCAGGTAAAAAAAAAAAAAAGTTTTGATCTATCTAAATCCAAACGTTTTGAATAGTTAGAAGACGTTTAATGCAGTGATTCCCAACCCTGGTCCTTGAGGAACGCCATCCTGCATGTTTTAGTTGTTTCTCTTCTCCAACGCACCTGATTCAGTGGTCTAATTACTTCCTTAAGTTTGGCAGAAGCCTGTTAATCACCCTTTCATTCAAATCAGGTGTGTGGGAGCGGAGAAACAACTAAAACATGCAGGGTGGTGTTCCTCAGGGACCAGGGTTGGGAACCACTAATTTAAAGTAAACATAATAAGGTTTCATTGATAAAATGCACTTTTTTTCAATTGAGGATTTTGGGGTTGGTTGAAGGGACACTCAAGGGACTGTCAAAGGACTTTTTTGTCCCTCGGGCCATACGTTGCCCATGTGTGTCTTAAAGTATCATAAAAAGTAAGTAGATTATGTAAAGCAAGCTAACAAAATTATGTACTATTTATAAGACTGAGTTTGTTGCAGCTCCTCAGACTGAATAAGTGTTATGGATAAAAGACAAAACGTTTCAACAAGAAGAATTCGTCCAGAGGACCTGACTTTACTGTGTTGGATTTTTCTACTTGGATTATTGAGCACACATCAGGATACAGTTTCACTTCTTTTCCTGACTGTAGAGTGACCTGCATGTGTTTGCTTCACCTCCCCCCAGCTGAGACCAGATGTTTCTGTTCATCTTCACAGAAACTGGCCCAGGTCCAACGCTGAGATAAGGGTGACACACACAGACACACACATGTTTGTCTTTCTATCTTTATGGGGACCGTGCACCGACTTCCATTCATTTTTTCATTCATTTCTATATCCTGACCCTTACCCTAAACCTAACCATTACCAGTACATACCTAACTGTAAACCTAAACCATCCTCAATTCACACCTTAGTTCTAAACCTAACCATTAACACACCAACGACACTAATACTTATGGGGACCGGGCTTTGGTCCCCACAAAGCTGGTCCTCAAAATGTGTTGAAAAATGGGCCTCACAAGTAACATAAACAAGAACACACACACACACACACACAAACGCCCCGTTTCATCCCTCTTACAAAGCCACAACTCTCCTACACAGAGCACTGAACTGAGGGGGGATGTTGTGTACGATAAGGTGAACAATGGGGTGCCGAAGAACTCGACTCGACCGAATGATTAAAAACAAAGTCGGTTTGTGGGTCAAGGCCGTAAAGTTGACACGCTGCCAACATTTAGACAGAAGTTTATTAATGTCCTGCTATAGTTTCAGGCAGACTCAGATAAACACGTCATAAAAACACTAAGGGTTGGTAATTAAATTATCCACAGTTTCCTTTCTTGTCTTTTAAAACACACAGGTAGTTGATCACAATGTGTAATTGGTCCATATTACATAAATTAGATGCTACAACTAATTATCTTGCACATGGAACTTGATAAAGGCAAAGGCTATAAAACTAACATTCCTTTAAGAAATGTGCTTTTGGGCGCTATATAAATAAACCAAATTGAATTGAATTTTGTTGCCAGGCAAAGTTTTGAACCTTTGCACAATCTTTTAGTGCTCAGAGTATGTGTTAGTGATGACTCTCAAGTACTACCACACCAAATCCTAACTCAGTACCTGTAAAACTGACTAAATATTAGCCGCTTGTGTGTTTCCTAAAGTCAGTTGGCTGTGGTGGCCATATTGCAGCAAGTTGACTCCAAAGGTAAATCATTTGTAACTGTACAGCTGTTGTTTAGTTTCTCAGAGTTTCATTCAAATCCATCCAGTGGTTCATGAAATATTTTGCTAACAGACACATACAGTTATTTGTGACGGTTAATGTCAACATTTTACATCAAGATCATGCACAATCCTTTTGTGTTCAGTTTATTAGTTGGGGCCAACTCTTAGCTACTGCTGTAACTGATTTTAGCTCAGTATCTGTAAAAATGTTTGAATTATAGCTAGTTTTGTGTTGGTTACATTTAACTAGCTGTGGCAACCATTTCAAATCGAGTTGACTCCAAATGTTGAAGAGTTGTAGAAGTGCATCCAAAAATTATTTTCTGCAAGCTTGAATAAAATCTGTTCAAAGCTTCATGAGATATTTTGCTAACAGACAAACATATGCACATGCTGGCAATTACGATTACCTGCCTACCGTGGCAGATAATGAATGTTTAAGTTAAATTGAGCTACTGCTGCATTTACCATTTCTACCAAACAGATTCTAAGTAAAGCTCTTTGCAAGCTGCTCACTGTTGATGTTGACTAACGGCGGGACCCTAAGACAATAAATCTACGCCTCCTCTATTTGCACTGAGATGCAAAATGACTGATGTGATCCAGACAATAACTTCTAGTTTTCCCGAGAACGCACACATGTTTCATGTAAGCAAAGATTTTAAACTGAGATCCAAACCAGCAGAACCCTCTGAAACACTCACATTCCACAACAGTGTCCTCACTGAAGTGGAAAGAAACCAAACTCTTTAGAAGAAAAAAAAAGTGGTGGTTTAGCCAAGCCTATGGTTAAGCTACAGAGGAAACCTCCCTCTTGTCCACCTCCCACCGTTGGGTCAGTCCCGCCTCCCCATCCAGCACTATATCAACAGCCTGCCTCCCACTATCAAACCCCACAGTGCTGTTTGCTCCTCAGCTGTTCTCTCTACTCGTGTTGCCTCCTGACCAGCAGATAATCATGTCCTTGATGTACACCCAGAGCATCTCCGGTGGCCCCGGGCTCGTCCAAAAGAGCTACAGCTACAGAACCAGCTCAGCTCCCCACAAGGCTCACAGCGTGTCCGGTCTCAGCTTCATGGGAGGCCCGCGCATCTCCAGCTCCACCGCTCGCGTTGTCTCCTCTGGGTTCGGAGGTGGCAGAGGGAGCGGGTTCGACCTGTCCAGCGCCCTGGACCAAAGCAGCACTCACCTGAACGAGAAGGCCACCATGCAAAACCTGAACGACCGCCTGGCCTCCTACCTGGAGAAGGTGCGCTCACTGGAGGCTGCCAACGCCAAGCTGGAGAAGCAGATCAGGGAGTACTATGAGCAGAAGGGCCCAGCAGCCGAGAGGGACTACAGCAACTACTGGGCCATCATCAACGACTTGAAGGACAAGGTATTCTGTCAAACAAATGGTCCCAAATGCCTCTAAAATTTAAACACAAGACAAGTCAAATATTTGCAGTGGTGTTAATGATTCACAGGCAGCTTTAAAAGGTTGCACGAGCATACAGCTGAGTAATCCCATAAATATACTTACTGTATTTATTAGAGTTAAAAAGTTCATGCAGCAAAAAAATTCTGTAACCATGTAACAGCAAACGTACTGTGTACCTGATTCTATGTCTGGTTCTCTTCTCTTCAGATCAATGGTGCCACCATTGTAAACGCCAACATCCTGCTGCAGATTGATAACTCCAAACTAGCTGCTGATGACTTCAAAACCAAGTAAGGCCATTTTCTCATGCAGCTGGAAAAGGTCAAACGGGCAGACTTTAATGTGTCGCTCATTCTGTGCCTAACCAGGTTCGAGCACGAGCTGATGATGCGCCAGTCCGTCGAGGCTGACATTGCCAACCTCCGCCGCCTCCTGGACCAGACCACCCTGACGAAGGCTGACCTCGAGTTGCAGATCGAAGGCCTGCAAGATGAGCGAGCCTACCTCAAGAAGAATCACGAAGAGGTGACAGACACTTCCACGTCCTACATTTAGAGCTGGTAACAACTCTTTAAACAGATCTTAACGATGAATACCTTTACCTTCACAGGAACTGGCAGCAATGCGCTCTCAGCTCACCGGCACAGTCAACGTGGAGGTTGATGCTGCGCCTCAGCAAGACCTGAACAAAGTCTTGGAGGAGATCCGCACCCAGTATGAAGCCATCAGTGACAAACATCGTCGAGATCAAGAGGCGTGGTTTAATGAGAAGGTGAGAGGGTTTACCCATAAACAGAGTAATGATATCCCACATGTTGTAAGTGAATGCTCTCTCAGCAGCCCACACTGTGATTAAACATAATTTTCTTTAAAACTAAACAAGTAATCATGGAGTTTGACTCTGTCATCTCTCCTTACAGTCGACATCTCTTACAAAGGAGGTGGCCATCAGCACAGAATCAATCCAGACGTCCAAGACAGAGATCAATGACTTACGGCGCACACTCCAGGGTCTGGAAATCGAGCTGCAGTCACAGCTCAGCATGGTGAGAATGAAAAAAACAACCCTGAAACCCCAAACCACGTGTCTACATTGCTGATCCTGCCTTATATGAGCAAGGATCTCAGATCTAAGCCTTGTCAGGATGAAATGAAGAGACACATAGAGGGTAAAAAGAGCACAAGGGGAGGATAAAAGGGGGGAGGCATTACTGAAAGAATGAAGGGAGGCAGTAGGATGACAGCAGTGAAAAAAGGAGTTGATCCTGCTTGGGAAAAAATTTCACCGACATCTGCTCAAATTCAGATAGTCATAAAGGAGCTGGAAGAAAGCTGGAGGAATGCTGGAGTGGTTTATCCATTCCTAGTTGCAGCTGATCACTCCCTGAAACAACCTGTGGAGGACAGGCACGATAATAAACACATTTGAGCTCTCGATCAAACCCAGCTGCCTTTTATTCTCATTTAAAAAAAGGCAAAACTGAGCAAACAATCTTCTTTTTGTGCATGGACAAGTGCATCCAGGGTGTGGCTGGCGTTTGCAGAATACATCCAGAACCATCACAAAAAGACTTTATCCAAAGACTGGTTTGCAAATACAAACAGCACGATTAACTTTTTCTTGTTTCTGCCATCTTCTAACAGAAAAACGCTCTGGAAAACACGTTAGCGGAGACAGAGGCTCGTTACAGCGCCATGCTTGCTGGCTACCAGAACCAAATCAACATGCTTGAAGCTGAACTAGGCAACATGCGGAGCAGCATCGAGCAGCAGGGTCAGGAGTACAAGATCCTGCTGGACGTCAAGACGAGGCTGGAGAATGAAATCGCAACCTACAGAGGCCTGTTGGAGACCGAGGAGTCCAGATAAAGTCAGGTGAAAATATCTCTGATTCAGAAACATAAAAACTGCACAAACCTACTCTAACTGTCTCTCTTCTCTTAACTTTAGGCTGATTTGCACGGATGCCAGCGCTGTGCACACCCCCAGTAGGAAGCCTGATCTGCCGGACAAGCTGTTCTCAGACACACACACATTTACTCCAACTAATAAAAGCTGTAACACGAGATGAGAGAAACCATGGAGAAAAATGTTGAAAATGAAACCTGTCTTGAAGTTTGTAACCCGACACTTTGCAAACCAGTAAAGCAGTACTGACTGTGTGTTTGTGTGAGAACTGTCTGAAAATATTAAATCTGCTGACCAAGTTAAGACTTGCGTTGTTCTCTCACTTTGCTGCTGGACCTCCTTTGCCAGAACCATGTCTTTTTTTTTTCCATGACATCACTCTGTTTACACAGTCTCCATGGCAACTGCTCTACATTTTTGGGAGGTGGGATACGAGGTCGCGGAAATCTAGTTTACGCAACGAGCCTGCTGTCAGGAAGGGGGGAACAATTGGTGAGAGCTGCAGTGAGGATCCAGAGGAAAGGCTTCACAAAGACTTGAAGAGTCAGAACAGAAACTTTCAAATTAAAGGCGTAGCATTCCTTGAAGGATTGCATATCACCTGCTGCATTTCCTGCCAAAGTTTTGGAATGAAATTATGTTTTGCTTAAAAATCACAGAGTTATAGGTGTTGCACAACCTGATGTTATTTTGTAGGATAATGCTAGCTCAGAGAATGGGTTCAGGATGACTCTCAGCTACTACCACACCAGATTCATTTCAGTGTATGAAAAATTGACTATAACAGCAATTTATGTTATCTAACGTTCATTAGTTGTGCCTTCCTGAATTAGATTAGACTCCAAAAATTAATTAGTTCACGCTTTACACCATATTATTACAGTCTAAGAGTTTCATTAAAGTCTATTCATTGGTGCATGAGATATTTTGCTAACAGACAGGGTGGAAGCCAGCACATTAAAGTTGAAAGCAAAAATGGCAAACATTGCGTAGCAAATGAAATATGCGTTAAGGATGATGCTCAGCTACTGTCACACATCTGAGCTCACAATTTGTCAAAATTGATGAGTTTTAGCCCTTTATGTGTTTTCTAAAATCAGCTGGCTGTGGCGGCCATCTTGAATTGGATGGCCATGAAAGGGTTCTAGCTGTAGATTTATTTCCAGTGATTACTTTCTGAAAGTTTCAGCCAAATAAATCTATTTAATTTCTTCATTGTTCATTAATACATTGACAATTATTAAATATTAACAAATATCGTGCACAATAACATTTATACTTTAACCTTTTTTTAGTGCATGTCCCCAGACAGGCCTGTAGCATTAGGAAAAATAAGAACAGTCTCAAATATAGTTTAAAAGAATAAACCTTTACATTAAATATATAAGGCAAGATTTAACCAAATCACATGGCGGCACTAGAAAAGGCTTCAGTCCTGTGGTTCATGAGATACTTTGCCAACAGACAGATAATAGCTATGCTTTAATAACAGCTCAGACTCCATCAGTCAGCACTTGCAGTTTGGGTGTTTGTGAATGATTTTATGTTGCTAACACTGAGTTAGAGATGGTTTTGTATAATTTCTAAGGTCTCTTAGCTGTGGCGGCCATATTTAACCTGATAAACTCCAAAAATGAGTCACTTGTGGGGGTCCATACATGGACTACTTTCTGAGAGTTTCATTGACTTATTCATAAAATATTTTGTCAAAGCTACAGACTTTATTGGCTTTTGGCAGCAGGCAACAAAAATGTGAAAGTTATGAGACTAAATGAAGCAAGTGACCCCATAGTTTCCCAAAGGAGATTCTTTTTTAAACAAGGCACACCCAAATGGCTGACTAATCTTTGCCCTGGACGTTTTTCAACAGCGTAGCATGAAGTTTGTGTAACTGCTGTCACCTAGAAACAAGAAAACACACAACTCAGGGAAGGAACCTGGAGAAAGGAAGCAGTGCAAACAGTGAGTAACAGAACAAAGAGAGTCACTGTGGAAACAGGTGTTATCAGGGCCGGACTCTGACCTCTTTCGTCAACTTAAAATAATGCCAAATGGTTAACGATGTTATGATGGAGAATCATCCAGGGTGTGGCTGATGTCTGATCTGTGAAAGAAACCAACACGTTTGTTTGTAGGAATTTTTTTCCAAGTGTTGCCTGAGAGTCCCGTGAGAACTTCAAGATTCTCAAACGACGTTGTAATGTTAGTCGACGAGAGCGGATTGATTTTAGATGGGATCGAATTTCAGCTCTCCCTGAGAAACTTTGCTCAAACATTTTGATTCCCTTCCTCACAGTTTTAAAAATGCAAAATGCTTTCTGTTATGCTTCTAATTTGAAAGGGAAATCCAAAGCAGGTCATAAAAAAGCATTTTGTGCTCATATGAAACTATTTTACCCACATGGGTGGTTAATCAAACCAGCAGGCTTGTCCAAGAGAAAAATAATTAAGCTATTCTTTTACTTCTTTGTCTTTTACCTGCTGTTAATATGTGTCATAAATTTACATGAATGCAAGTCTGGTTTATCTACATTCAAATATTACAACTCTGCCTGGAGGCAACACAGCACCCTGTCCTGCAGCTGCAGCCTGGTGCTTGTTCCAGAACAACACTGCAATAAATTAAAAATGTACATCTGATATATCAGAACCACCCCGTTGTTACTTATATCTAAGAAAACTAAATGTGTCTAAAGTAACATTTTGAAAATCTGACAAACCCTTTAATTTAAATCAAATAAAAATCATAAAAAGAAAGATAATTCTGATGGTGCTGACGTGTTGCAGCTCTGAAAATGGAGTTAATTTTGGTTGAAGATGGAGTTTTAGCTACTCATCAGTTTGTGGTAGTTCTTGCATGTTTCTGCTCATCACAATGTGAAATATATTTTTATTTGGAGACTAAGCTGGAATGCAGGCAGGTTGCTCCAACACACACAGTCTACCTTTAAAGGGTTCTCTGACTACTTACACATCCATCCATCCATTATCTTTTACACGCTTCTTCCAGTTTGGGTCACGGGGGTCACCAGTGCCTATGTCCAGCAATCATTGCAAGTCCATCACAGGGCAAAAATGTAACTTGTATATTATATTCTCAAATGTTTATTTCTTTTAATGTTGATGATTATAACTGACAACTAATGAAAACCCCAAATTCAGTATCTCAGAAAATTAGAATATTGTGAAAAGGTTCAAAATTGAAGACACCTGGTGCCACACTCTAATTAGCTAATTAACTCAAAACACTTGCAAAGGCCTTTAAATGGTCTCTCAGTCTGGTTCTGTAGGCTACACAATCATGGGGAAGACTGCTGACGTGACAGTTGTCAAAAAGACGACCATTGACACCTTGCACAAGGAGGGCAAGAAACAAACGATCATTGCTAAAGAGGCTGGCTGTTCACAGAGCTGTGTCCAAGCACATTAATAGAGAGGTGAAGGGAAGGAAACAATGTGGTAGAAAAAGGTGTACAAGCAATAGGGGTTACCGCACCCTGGAGAGGATAGTGAAACAAAACCCATTCCAAAATGTGGGGGAGATTTACAAAGAGCGGACTGCAGCTGAAGTCAGGGCTTCAGGAACCACCACGCACAGACATATGCAAGACATGGGTTTCAGCTGTCACATTCCTTGCATCAATCCACTCTTGAACAAGAGACGGTGTCAGAAGCATCTCACCTGGGCTAAAAACAAAAATGGACTGGACTGTAAATGTTGTATTTCCTTTGGAAATCAAAGTCCCAGAGTTTGGAGGAAGAGAGGAGAGGCACAGAATCCATGTTGCTTGAGATCCAGTATCAAGTTTCCACAGTCAGTGATGGTTTGGAGTGTCATGTCATCTGCTGCTGGTGTTGGTCCACTGTGTCACTTGTGATGTTCAATTTAGTAGCTCTTGAGTCAACATAATATATATACATACGTACATACATACATACATACATACATACATACATACATACATACATACATACATACATACAAA